TATATAAATGAGTCTACATATCTATATTATGATATTCTATATAAATGAGTGGGAAGAAATAATATGCTTAGCAGGCTCCTGTTCCATTAAAAGAGTAAAATCTCCCACATTATAATATTAGTCGAGAATCCTGAAGTTTTGAAAGTAATAGATTTCTTCTTTCTGTATTTTTTTTCCCATTATAGTCTATTATTTCTAAATAGGCTTTTCAAGGCCATTCTGACCTTCCTTTATTTGTGATGCTAATATATGACACCATGATCATTGAGCACTTACTTTGCGTATCTCATTTGAGGCTATAGTCAAGTAGAACGTCACTGGCGCACTGTTAAGAAACAGGCACAAGTGAAGCGGAAATGGAAGTGAATTGGAAGAAACAGAACATGACTATATCCTGCAGTCGTCCGTTAACAGAACACGACTATTTCTCGTTAATATTCATTTACATTCATCACTACGAAAGTTATGTATGGAAAGTTTGGTATCTACAGAGAAAACAACATTACACTCTTCGATAAAGGTGTCCGCCGATAACATCGCGGACGAGAACGTCGCGGAGAAAACAACGCAAGGCGAAAACGTCGTGCTACAAAACACCGTGGGAGAAAACATCGCAAAGAGAAAACATCGCAGTTCTAAAACATCGTGGTACAAAACATCGTCGTCGAAAATAAAGCGGTCCAAAAACTTCGCAGTTTAAAAACATCGTCGTCGAAAATATCGTGGTAAAATATAAAGTATCTACAAATCATCGCATGACGATAACATCGCAGACATGCTTTTTTCAGGCTTTTAATAACTGTAAAATGGAATAATTCCCATAATTGTAAAAACTGGTTTGTGAGCGCAAGATGTAAAGAATGGATAATTTTTTTTTTACTTTCATATTTTTTATTAAATATTAAATTTTTGCTGAGAAATAAGAATGAAAACTTAAGCAATAGAAAATTAATGCAACTTACAGCACTTAATAGAATTTTAAATCGACATAGTTAACTAACAAAGACCATTAATAAAGTTTTACATGGTTTTTTCATAAATGATTTTACAAAGAATAGAAAAAGAATTTTTCATAAAAAATTGCTAAATTAATCTATGAGATAAGTTTTCATTTAATTTTCTATCTGCACTTAAATGAAAATTACTTCCTTCTTATTTTTTCAGCAAAATTTATTAGTTAATAAAAAAATGTGAAAGTTAAAATTATCCTTCCTTACATCACTTGCGCTCACAAATCATTATGGGAATATACATTTACAGTTATTAAAGCCTGAAAAAAGCATGTCTGCGATGTTATCGTAATGCGATGATTTGTAGATACTTTATTTTTTACCACGATATTTTCGACGGCGATGTTTTTAAACTGCGAAGTTTTTGAACAGCTTTATTTTCGAAGACGATATTTTGTACCACGATGTTTTAGAACTGCGATGTTTTCTCTTTGCGATGTTTTCTCCCACGATGTTTTGTAGCACGACGTTTTCGCCTTGCGTTGTTTTCTCCGCGACATTTTCGTCCGAGATGTTTTTGCCGCGATGTTTTCGGCTGTAACCTCGATAAACAAAGGGCTGCTGGGAAGAAATTTTCGCGGACATTCCTGAACTGCGGGAACGGCTGTACGCTGTGAGATATAAAGGATAAACTTAACCCTTCTTATGTTTGTTGTATCTTCTACCACACGCAGGAACATAGTTTGAGTAAGTTCCCTGTTCCCACTCAGGACTCCAGTTGTGTTTCCAAAAGCAATTAAAAGGAATAGCAGTCCTAACAAATGTTTTTATTGACTATAAATGCCTTTATATCATATTAGTAGAATAATATCATAAAGTGGTCATCCTTTTTTTTTTTTTTTTTTTTTTTTTTTTTTTGCATTTAAAGGTTTTCCACCCACCCCTCCTTCCATACGAATTAAACCGCTACAGAGCGGTTTAAGTATATTTTCAGTGCCTTCATGTAGCACAGAGATCCGGCATTCGAACCTGGGACCTTCGGTGCGGCACTCTGCGTCACTAACCATTATACCGCCTGGGGTTTCTTGTTAATTTCTAAAATTAATTTTTGATTTTTAAAATTTGATTTTTAAACCTATGCTGAAATGATTTTTAATATTTCTGCACTTAAAAAGGCAGGCCGTATTCCGGCTACGCATACTCGTTCCCTTCGTACTTAAAACAATTCGTAGAGAATAATTAGTTAAGTTTACAATTAGTTAAGTTTGTTTAATTAGTTACATTTAAAATAAGACAATTTTAGGTTGGATCACTCCTATAGTTTATTGATTATGCGTTGGATCGATTGCCACTGTAAATTCTACGGTCTCTTCTAAGATTCATAACTGCTACCGTTTCGCTACCTACTAAGATCCAGAACTGCTACCGCTTTGCCACTAGCAAGTAACCTTTCTTTACTAATATAAGTTTGCATACCCCCCTCCCCAATGTCATGCTTTAATGCTATTTAAGATATTAGTGTTACAAGCATGTGCAAGCAAGCTGGAACATTCCTTTCATTAAATTTTCTAATTTAGTAGGACAGGCTGAAATCTCGACTTCCATTGGTTTTCTTTGATTAGCTTCTGATGGCAATATAAATCATTATGCACTTTATTGTAAATTATGTTGGAAGATTACTGTTTGGTCTTTTATACGTCTTAGAGTTTTATTTTATAGTCGAGGGGAATTCGCCTTAAATTGTTTTGAATGTCATTTCTAAAATTCAAGAATCCGCTAGCGACCGAGCCGTAAGTCAATGAACACTGGTAGGTTTTATTCCAGACGAATGAGCTGGTTACATGGGCGTTTCCATAGTTTCCCCCCCCATGTGTAAAGTGTTTTTTTGTGCTTATTACGTACTCCGCCCTTGCGCACTACACGGAAAGGGAGGAATACCCCGTGGAAGTCTTTCTTAAGGGAAACTGAACCCCACGTACACATGGGGAAAACCACGAAAGCGCCCGTGCAGCCAACCCGTTGGCCGGAACTCAAACCCCAGACCGAACTACCAATGTTCAGCGGCTTCTACCGCTCGACCGCTGGTGGGCCATGTAAAGTGTTTAGAAACAGTTTTTCTTAGTTAGTTTATCAGGTTCAACGTTCCTTCTAACCTTCTTCGGGAACATACAAGGACCTGACTCGGAACAGAGAGCTTACTAAAGCTATGTTCACTAATTGTGGTAAGTAGACAGGATACAGACGAAGGGTATACAAAACCCTTTATTTTTCTCTATATACAATAACTTCCGTACTTCGGAATACACTGACCCGCCACTTGGGGTCTAACGTAAAAGTATAAAAATAAAACTAAACTCTAATTTAACTTTAGAATAATACACGTGGAAGATTGGCCTTATAATAACAGGAAGCGTATGTAGCACAGAGACTGTGAACACTACAATGCGTTTAATTTATCAAGAGGATTAAAACCTCTGGCCTGGAAGGCAAACAGCAACTGCGTAACTTCTAAGGTAAGCGGCCTGCTTCGAACTCACTGCTTCCTCTCTCTCGCTTGGCAAAAGGCCACAACTTAAATACTTGGCGTTCGCCAGACAAACTTTGCATAAAAACCTTCACGCTTATAATTCTGGCCGGAAGTAGAAAATAAGAAGTGATAGTAAAGATTTAAAATAAAATAAACGTTAGTAAAACTTAAGATCCTTACAAGTTCTCCACGAAAGCATCCCTTCCCTTAAGCAGGCAGCCTTTGTGTGCTTCGCCTTAATCAGATAAACCGAAACCCATCTAAAATACAAGCGAGATTTGTACCCGCACGTACTTGTGTATGTCCAGCAACCCACACGGGTGTGGGATACATATAGGAAGGAATATGTTTATATAAAATATGATACAAAAATCATTTGTAAACTATACACATAAAGAAAAACAAAAAAAATTAAATATTCTTGTTGGTATTTTGCATGGAAAACTCTAAATGTCGGCTCACACTTCAAACTGTTGCCCCCAAATATTATCGCCCTGTGTTAAATTTAAAGAAATTAAATAATGAAGAATCTGCATTAAATGTATGCATGTATTGTGATAAAACAACGATACCCAGAGCCATCCAATTTTGAATAACGTAATCTTCCGCCGAATATGGGCATCTGGAAGCCCTAATTTGGAATTTGAATTTTTTTTATTATAGATTTCATATTTTATAACACTTCAACGAATTTTTGATTAACAAACTCAACAATTTCAAAGAAAACGATGGCAATACTGCAAAGAAAAAGAAACATTTTTATTTCCAGCGCCTCTGTAACGGAAATTCTAAAGTTTGGCTCATTTTAAAATTTCTTTTGGATATTGCTGTTGAATTGAATTTTATGGTTTAAGTGAAAAGAACATTTAATAAATAAAGGTAACACAGAAAAGGTTAAAAAAATCTTAAAGCTTTCAGATTTTTTTAAAATTATTTTTTCCGTTTAAATATTGTCTACTATTTTCTGCACAATGTTATTACTAGTAAACTTTCACGAAGCAAACATTTTATAAAAAATTATAGAAATAAGAAATAAAACCTACTTTATTTAAAAACAAGAAAGTTGACACCATTTCTTGGCAACTTGCCTTTTTCAATTCTCTGCTTTAGGCAATTTTATGTAGTCATCGAAAAACGGTTTAAAATTACAGAAAAAAATAGTTCACTACGCAAACAATATTTCTAATGTATAAAGAATGATTCAATGAAAGAATAACCACTGAAAACCAGCAAGAAGAAGAATTATTTGAATTAAAGAGAACTACGTAAAGACTTTCAAAAACGCATTCAGGGAAGAACGTTTCTGGGCACAAATATTATTCATTTGTGATCTTCGCAGCTCTGTTTTAATATTCTTACCAATTTGACAATTGTAAAAGCGACTGTCTCTGCTTCAAAGAGCTGAAAAAACAACTTTCCGATTTATTCTTTACCACTAGGCGGCGCTCATTTATCTATTGACGTCATCACTAGAGAAGTGACCTACCGTAGCAGTGCAGAGAGCAACGTTTAAAAGGGCCGCTGCGTGCTCTTCTTCAGTCGGAATCTTTCCGGCCATACGTTTGGTATTGTTCAGTTTGCTTTTAGCTGAACAGAGCTTTACCATAGTCTTTTGCGGAATATCAACCAGTAAAAATATACAAACAGATTCTTGGCATTTTTACAACAGTGTCCGGCTAGCACGACATCAAGGATTGGAATTGGTTAAGGTAGGTCAAATCTTTTTATCGGCATCTTCCTAAATATATCTGCAATGTAAATTAATGTTCGGGAAAGGGGCGGGCAAAAAGAAAAGGGTACATTTGATTGAATTTTTTATCATCTAAATTCTTTGCATTTAATTCTGAAGGAAAAAGGAATTAAATTTAAAAACATTTCGGATCAAGTATATTACATTCGATAGAATTCTTCCGACTGCAAGTATTTTATTAAAAACATTCATAATTATGAAAACTAAATAAATGCTTTATAGTTCGTTGAAAAAGTTTATTTATTTTTTATTCTTATGAGAGGTAAAATTTCATGTAGATGATATATACCTACGATAGAAAATATTTCTGATATTCTGCATCTGTAAACATTACGAAAATAATACTAAAATAAACTGTTTTAAATGGTATTACTAATTTTGCTTTCTGTAATAAATTGAAAATTATTTTTGTTTTCAGATTTTCCATAACAGAAACTTTCTTATTTCTAAAATATTTCTTTCAGAAAAATTAATTACCTTACAAAATTGCCTGTTAATTAGAAACTAAAAGCTGAATATTCAGTTTATAAATACCGTAAAATCAATATAATTTGGTCACGAAATTTACTTGAATTATTTTGCATAATACTGCCACGAACGGAAGTTTTGAATGCAATTAATAGTTTAGAATAATTCAACAACATTTTTGTAATATTTTTGTAATTTGTATACTTCAGCTATTCTGTTTGACGCACATTTCTCTGCTTGTAATAAAAATGTTCAAATTATTCTTAAATTACGTAAAATCCTGCGTGTAAATTGGTCTTTCTCTTCTGCTGTTGTACTAATTAAACTTTTGCATTTTATCATTCTATGCAGTTTATTTTTTATTGCTTTCATAGATAAACCAGCTCAAAAATATTATTTCTCGAGTTACATAATTGCATCAGGAGTAAATTAAAAAAAAACATTTGTTGTTAAGTCATTAGTTTTTTTGGAAGAAGGAATACATGAAACATGTGCAATACCCTAGCCGGATTCAAACTTGGACTTCTCGAATACGCGCCATGTGTGCTACCATTACACCACGAAGGCCCTATAAAGTTATTATTTATTTGACGAATTCCGCTTGTATTCATTTGACTTTGTAATGAAGAAAATTTAAAGAACTGCTAGCTATAAATAAAACATAAGGTTTTATAATTTATAGAGAGTCGGATACTTTCCAGAAACACAGTGCTATAGAAATAATTAAATAAAATTTATTATTCAAAAAATTTTCGAGATTCCTGATATAATCAGTTAGATTTTATGGAAATCTCAAAATTTAAATTTTGAAAAATTTTTTAATTTATTTGATTCAAGAAATTTGAAAGAAATATGCACCATTTCCGATATTTTAATCCTAAGAAAAAAGAAATTAAAAAAAATTTCCACAAAAATTTAAGTATTTTTATACGGATTCTTGAAGGAATGAATTCACATTTCTTTTAATGAATTTCAACTCAAAATCGATTCATTGAGAATTAATATTTGAAAGTTGAATGATTTGACTAAAGTAGCATACTTTCATTTGTAATCACCATTCTTACATCCAAATACGAATTATAAAAGAACATCCATGAAACTAAAAGAATGTTAAATTTAATAGCTAATCAATTCATTTTTTTATTCATTAATAGTTATTAAAATGAATTCATCATTTTTACTAGTTAGTTTTATAGTGCATACTTCTTAGCGAATTCATGTGATTAACGTCTTTACTTTTGTATTCAGATTAACTATTGTAGTAATAAAATGTAGTGCCAATATCGAATACCAGATGGCGTACAGATTGCTGATCGTATAATTCTTTTAACATTTTATTTTTCGTTTTGTGAGTTGGCAATTAGATGAGTTGGACTCAACATGCAGTAAAAGAACGACGACGATAAAGACATAAATAAAAATGTATTGAAGAAGTTAATTCAGTTTATAACTAACTTATTTGTTAAAAATGTAAATACGTTAAATGTAATTAAACGCCCTGTCTTTTCATGTAGTTTCTTAGATGTCTTTTTCAAGAAGATATTACCACAATAATGATATGAAATATCAAACCAAAGTAGTCGTTCAAAACATATGCGAATATACTGGCAAGTTCAATGAGGAAAATCATTCAATAAGTCAAATCACTTAGTTACTATTTAGTTACTCTATTTGGAAATGGTATTGTGGAATTTATTGTACAACTTAAGTTGTTATTTAAAGGTGCTTGAAATTCATTCTACAGGTTCTTGCTATGCAAATTTTGCATCATTAATCCATCTGCATTCCGTAATTGCATACAGTAATGAATCAGCGTAAACTTAGAAATATTTTGAAGACTGGAGTACAGTACGTTATCATGAGTATTTGTGTTTTTAAAATTTGTAAAATCTCCATTTAGAAAGAATGGTGAGTTTAAGATAATCTTGTAATATTGTTTCAACATGAAAACCCACAAAAATATAAAAGCTCAATGAGATAATTCTGAATGATAATTATGTCCTTTTTTGACTTCGAGCAAAATAGCAGGTGAGCTGCAAGTCTCCCAATGTACAATTAAACTACGTTTCTCCCAATGTACAATTAAAATACGTTTCTCCCAACGTACAATTAAAATACGTTTCTCCCAATGTACAATTAAAATACGTTTCTCCCAATGTACAATTAAAATACGTTTCTCTCAATGTACAATTAAACTACGTTTCTCCCAATGTACAATTAAAATACGTTTCTCCCAATGTACAATTAGAATACGTTTCTCCCAATGTACAATTAGAATACGTTTCTCCCAATGTACAATTAGAATATGTTTTTCCCAATGTACAATTAAAATACTAGTTACATGTGTATGAAACTCACTAAAAATATTGGTTTCGAGATGTTCCTCCCCGGGGTCGACGCCGGAAAATTGGTGAAGCTACTGCTAGAATCTGTACTACGATAATCTCGGCTACGGAGGCATATAATAAAGTCTTCCTAGGACCTCCGTTCAGGACCGTCTGGTACTGTCTTGTCTGTCCTTTGGCTGTTGGGTAGCAATACAGTTGGATATGAGGTTTTCCTTCGGGGTTTGGCTCCATTCGAGCATCTGCTGGGAGACTTAGAGAGTGGATGGAACACCCATAAGATTATATATGTTAGTGGTGCCTAGAACCAAAGATGTCGTCGTTTGTATTATAGTCTGAGTGTTCTTCTACTGCCAAAGGTTTATATAAAGAGGAAGGGAACCACGGAGGCTGGGTCTGCTTGCACGGTCTCCCGAAGATCGGATACAAGATCTGAAATGTCAACCAGGCCAGGAATTCATCTCTGGTAGTCTGTCTCGAGATGTTAATGCACTTAGCGATTTCTTTTAAATTACCTAGACAAGTAACTAAACCATTCCCCAAATATTTAACTTGACATTACCTGACCTGATCATCGTTACGGCCATGGTCCTTTCTTTTAATGTGAAGAAAACTAAGAGTTGGAACCAAGAAATTTTCGTCCTATAAGCGAGAGCGCTGGGTAGCCGCAGTATGGTTTTGCAGTCAGAACTTGTCAAAAAACTCCGAGTAAACCTCGTGGTACGAATGTCTAAGGAATTTCAGAAATTTAAGGATTAAAGGTCTTTCTTTTACTTTCTATTTTTATTTACCAGATAGTGGGCTACAAGTAATAAATTCGAGCAAATCAATTGTGGCCCAAAATCCTGAAAATAAAAATAAAATATTTATTTTCTAATTCTTAATGCAACTTATATCTTATTTCACAGTATTTATATAATTTATTATTCCTTTTCAATTAGATTAGGACACGCAATGCACTTATATTAATACTAGAAAGCCCAGCGGTCATACGAAATGACCACTGTTCTAGATATTATAAATTGTAATTAAAATCATTTGTGCAAATGTGTATGCTAATTCAAACTGAATTACCCAGGGCAGGCGGCGAGGACGCATCTTTGCTTACTGCCCCAAGGGGTTTCCCCCTTCAACTTACTTAATTTCTTAAAATAGAGTGCAATGAAGGAAACCACTGGCGGTACATTTCGTAAGAGCCACCGCTAGCTCAATAAATAAAGGTGATTTAAATAATAAAAAGTTAACTTACATGTCAAAGATCTCTTTGTACGCAACATTTCTTGTGTAGATCTTTCCATCATTCAAGCTCGCCTTGCAGAGGACCATCCATTATTTTTAATTTTACGTCCGTTCTTTCACGAACTCTTGAACAGGCAACATAAAGTTGACCGTGTCCAAATGCAGGCTCAGGTGAAAAAATCCCAACACGCTTAAGCGTTTGGCCCTGAGACTTACGGATGGTCATAGAAAAGGCAAGTTTTACAGGAAATTGTGTACGTCTCAAATGAAACGGCAACCCTGTGCCGTGGCAACTTCCCACCATTGGCTAGCACAGTTACGTAAGCAACCATTAAACTATCGGAGACAAACAGACACTTAAGCCGCATATAATAAAGATATTTATTTATTTCATTTTATTTGTTTTTTCATCGTTGCCGGTTTTTGCCGGTTGCATATTTCCGAATTCTATTATATATAGATGTTAAGTTTATTTATTAAATGTTAAATGCACGTGCTCTTGTATTTTTTAATTTTTCCGGCTTAGCTTTCTCATAATATTCGTCACTCGCTGCACTGCACAGGGAATAAAACAATTTACACTTACGCAAGCAACCAATAAACTATCGGCAACAAACACTTAAGCCGCTTATATATGTATAGATGCACTCATATTAATTACTCGTATTTATTTTCTAATTCTTAATACAACTTATATCTTATTTTACCATATATGTATATATATAATTTATTACTCGTTTTCGTTTAGATAAAAATATGCACTGTAAAGCTACTGTTGACAAAATCCGAAATGGAAATTATGACATCAAATTACCTTTCAAGCTATTTCAAGCTCATTTACATTCAGATAACGTACTAGGTATTTCGTGACTTTCCCCTCCTTTGCTGAAGGATCAGCAATGGGAAT